GTACAGCTTATTGACAAGAGAGCCTGTTGTTTCTTTTTCAACATGCAGTTCCAAAAACACGTGCCGCAACCTTGCCGCCGGTGTAGACCCACTAGTCAGAGACGTCCACGTGACCACGGCCGAGTTGGCCGTCACCTTGAGGTTCAAAAATTTAAAAGGCCGCTCTGCCCTCCAACCTAATAGCGATGGCCTCCAACCTGCTAGCGATGGCCTCCCACCTACTAGCGATAGCCTCCAAACTAGTAGCAATGGCCTCCAACCTAGTAGCGATGGCCTCCATCCTACTAGTGATGGCCTCCAACCTAGTAGTGGTTTTCAACCTAGTAGCGATAGCCTTCACCCTGCTAGCGATGGCCTTCAACCTTTTAAAGCGAAGCCCTCCAACCTAATAGCGATCGCCTCCAACCTAATACCGATGGCCTTCAACCTAATATAGCGATGGCCTCCAACGTAAAAGCGACGCCCTCCAACCTAATAGCGATGGCCTCAAACCTTATAGCGATGCCCTCCTATATAGCGATGGCCTCCAACCTTCTAGCGATTGCCTTCAACCTGATAGCAATGGCCTCCTACCTAATTTAATAGCAAATGGCCTCCAACCTAATAGCGATGCCCTCGAACTTAAGAGCAACGGCCTCCAACCTACCTCCAACCTAATAACAATGCCCTGCAACCTACTAGCGATGGCCTCCAACCTACTAGCGATTGCCTCCAACCTAATAGAGATGGCCTCCAACCCACTAGCGATGGCCTCCAACCTAATAGCGATGGCCTCCAACCTACCAGCGACCTCCAACCAAATAGCGATGGCCTCCAACCTACTAGCGATGGCCTCCAAACTACCAGCAAACCCCTCCAACCTATTAGCGAAGGCCTCCAACCTAATAGCAATAGCCCTGCAACCTACTAGCGATTCCCTCCAACCTAATGGCTCCAACCTAATAGCCAAGCCCTCCAACCTAATAGCGATGGCCTCCAGCCTAATATGGCATCCAACCTAACAGCGATGCCCTCCTACCTAATAGCCAAGCCCTATCCCGCCAACTACTGGCGATGGCCTTCAACCTACTAGCGATGGCCTCCAACCTGCTAGCGATGGCCTCCAACCTTCCCTCTAACCAACCAATATGCCTGCAACCTAGTAGCGATGGCCTCCAAGCTAGTAGCGATGGCATCGAAACTAATAGCGATGGCCTCCAAACTACTCGCGATGGCCTCCATCTTAATATAGATGGCCTCCTACTGGCGATGGCCTCCAAGATGGCCTCCAACCTACTAGCGATGCCCGCCAACCTAGAGATGGCCTCCGACCTACTAGCGATGGCCTCCAACCTAATAGAGATGGCCTCCAACCTACTAGCGATGGCCTCCAACCTACTAGCGATGGCCTCCAACCTAC